GCGGCTCGGTTCCGCCCCCCACCTCCGCCGCGTAAAACCACTCTCGGTTTTTCGCCCCGGTCTCCGTGTGGCCCCCTCGTCCTTCGCGCCGTCGAGTGTTAGCGAGACGCCCAGCACGTCACAGTGTTGCCAAATCCGCGAGAGCTTTTCCACCGACACACCGTGATTTCCAGAAACACTTGGTGCCGTAGAACACACACGCTCGGAAATCGGGAACCCCGCGAAACAAGGTCTCGCGTTGGACGGCATTGCGTTCGTCGTCGCGTTTTACGAAACAACATTCGGCTTTACCGATCAAGTTCTTGGAACATTGGTCTGATCGGTCGATAAGGAAGATTGAATTTATTCTTTATTTTTTTCTTTTTTCTTCTTTTTGTTTCTTTTTGGATCGTGACATTTTGAGAATTAAGGGAATTTCTCATTGGAAAATTGGCTTGGACATCCTTTTCGAGATTAAACTTTAGGTTTCTTGAGTTTTTCGATCGTTTGACGAGGGAATGGACCGAAGAACGTTTTTCGTGAGGAAGGGGAGGAAGGAAGGGAGGAAGGATGATGCTCCGGTGACTCGATTTTCCGCTTCGGGGTTCTTTCTCTTTGTGAAGTAGTTCGATCAATAACGGAAATTGAATTTTTCCCCCCAAACTGTACAATATTTTAATTGAATATCTTCTAAGATCTTTTTACAAGATTGTTTCCATCGATCTCTTCGTTTTCGAAAAATCCAAATCGACGGACGAGTAGTCGATCGATTCGAATCAACGAATAAGAATCTAGAATCTTTGCTATTTCGATGTTACGTTACGTAAAATAATTTAACGACCGATTTCGCGTTGTTTTCGAAGTGATTTCACTTCGAAACCAAAATTCGGCCCCGACCACATTGAAAACCGTTCGCGCGGATTCGTGAATTGCATGGCTAGTGTAAATAGAGTCCACATACCGCGATCGATTTCGTTGGTTTTCGTGTTTTCGAGCCTCGACGAGCGAAGGCGTTACTATTTGCCACTTTGATCCTTCCCCCCTCCACCCCCAAATTTCCAAAATTTTACCGTTGTGAAATGAGAATCGAAAGCAGAGATAATCAAAATTATATATCGCGAACACGATACTCGAACTCGAAAGAGATTTTTATCCCTCGAAAAGTTTGGAAATCCTTCATTTTTCATAATTCAAACGATCAATTTTACATTTCAGTCCCCTTGAAATGCGGGAAAAAACAGATGTATAGAAATGTTTTCTCAATGTCCCCATTATTATATCACAAATCGTTCTTCCCGGCCGAGCGTATGTATGTTAACGCGCATTGTCGAATGATCTCGAGTCGGAAACGAAGCATTAGAATCGCTTCTGAGCTAGCCGAGAAAGCTATTCAACCTGCTCGTAACGTAAAAATAGTCTATCTAACCATTTCACCCGCATTGTCGACGTCTAAACATTTTTTAATAAAACGACTTTTTGCCAAACCGAGATCCGCTTTTAACAAAGTCGATCCTTTCACCAGAAACTGTACGTGTATATATACACACACATATATATATAAAACCTATTTTAATATATGCCATTTCACGTGCAGAAATGATCGGGTGAAACGTTTCACTCCGGATAATTGGTTTCTTACTTGGGATCGTGGATTGTAAGGAAAGTGATTTCGAAAGGAAAAGTAACGCGGGAAGAAGTTTGCCCAGCTTCTTTTCCGGGGCAAAGAAGCGCGCGGGTTACGCGCGATACACAAAGCCCTCTTCCCTCCTCGTCGGAGAGCGTCGATCGATACTGCTTAACATCGGTTTCGACGGTTTCAAGACGCGCGACCACCCGTTCGAACAGTTGCAAAGTTCGCCGCGGGAGCAGCAACAAGCTGCACAGAACCAGCGCGCCGCTGTCTCAAGCCCAGTACACACTTGCGCGTAATTTTCTCGTTGTGCGTTGCCTTGTCGAGAATATTTGAATCGAGATAATCGGACGAAGCTGCAACCCATTAATATCCTTTCATACGCGCGAAAGAGAAGGGTATATTTGAGGTTGAAGAGAGATATTATTATTCACAAGCGCGATAGCGGCTTGATTCTCGTTCCATCGAAAAAGGTATTCACGACCGATTGATTCCCTTCGCTTCTCCGGAGGAGGAATCTGAAAAGAAAGTATATAATATAGTGTTCAGTATATTGGTGTATTTTTCTCAAGCGTGTACAGGGCTTTATAAGTCGTTACAAGGCTCGCGTTTCGCGAAACACACCGCGGTTAACAACTCTATTCGCGATGTCCAAACACTTTCGTTCTCGTGCCGGATTTTTTAGATAGCCGGCTCTTTGTTCGATTCACCGGCCGTAAAGCAACTCAATGCGACTGCTTAAGCAACTCTGGTATTAATGACTCATCAATCAATAACTACAGGACAGAGTTTACTACTGGAATTTTTCCTCCGAAATTTTCTCCTTTCCCGTGGAATAATCGTGGAACACCTGTCGACGTAGAATCGATTACGGTGCACAATTATCCGCGACCGATATCGAAGAAAAATCACGAGACACAGTGCTGCTGTTTAGTAACCGTATATGTCATCGATTGGTCGACCACCACCCCCCT